CCGATATCGGTTTTAATTTGAGGTTTCGACAAGAAAGTAAAATGTTTCAGAACAAGAATTTTTTTTTAAAATGCCAGTACATGTATAAACGATTATATCACCGATTAAACACAGATGCTAACGTCAGAATCCAAATCCAAAAGATCCTTTTGTATAGAGTAAAATTGTATAGGAGAGAGATACATGTCTTCCGTCGTTGAGCTCGACTTCTGATGCTCAGAATTATATCGTTCTGAACAGTTCTAATGTTAATTATGTGGTGATCCTGCATTGGCACATTAACAAGAAATACCAGATTGAAAAGTTTTAAAATCCCAAATCAGAGTCAAGTACCGGATGTTTTCGAGACATACTCTTCTTCTAGTTATAACCTGAACTCCAATTATCACCGAGTTGGACAAGACTGTACTGAAGATGCTGCGTCCACAACAATTATGCTAAAAACAAATGCTAGACTATCAAACCGCATACAGTTGATGATTTTTATACGGCCATATTTTTATGTGGGCGTATATTGTTGTCGGCCCTGTCCGGACGTCCGTCCACAATTGTTTGTGAACATTCTACAGGTCGCAATTTTTATCCGATTTCAATGAAACTTGTAATATAGGTTTATTACCCTAAGATCGCGGTTCCTTTCCATATTGGCATGTGTCGGACTGTAACTTCATGGATTATGGCTCCTGATTGTACGAAACATCACATTTTTAGCTTGTGAACACTGTAGAGATCACAATTTTTATCCGATTTGGTTTAAACTTGAAATGTATGTTTACAACCCACATATCTCGGTTCCTTTCCATATTCGTGCATATCGGACCGTAACTTCCTGATAGTACGAAAATCGCGTTTTAAGCTTGTGGACCCCATAGAGGTCACAATTTTTATCCGATTTAATAAACCGTTTGAATACATCACTGTTACACCCTAAGGGTGGTTGAGTTCGAATTTCGTAAAGATCGGTCCGAAACCGACGGACAAAATGGCCGCCCCTCGGACGCAAACGGTGTAAAAATATGGTATATTCATTAATCGCACATTTATTTTTTTCAGAAGTATTGAGCAATCAAACTATACACTAAGTTTCATCACTCTCTATCACATAGAATCAAGATTATCTTGTCCCAAAGCATCGACCAATGAAATTGATTAGCTCTGATTAGCTTCAGCTCGAAATGTTAATCATTGAACTCAGTCAAGACATTCACCTAATGAACAAGTTTAAACATTCTACCTCAATTAAACGCAGAGTTGTTATGTTCCAAAGTCTTGACCAATCAAATTGCTTATTGCTCCTTAGCCTAAGCAGAAAATTCTCACCATCGAACTTAGTCAAGGTAATGATATAATGAATCTATAGTTTCATCGTTCTGACTTCATTATAACCAAAGTTATAGTGCCCCAAGGCATCAACCAATCAAATTGTTTATCTCTGCTTATCCTAAGCCGAAAACGCCTAAACCAAGTTTCAACATTCTAGCTCAATTAGAAGGAGAGTTATTGTGTCCCAGAAAGTGTGACGGGCGGACAAACAGACGGACGAACCCATTTTAATAGTCCCCTGCTTTCTTCGAAAGGCGGGGGACAACTAGGAGAAATTGTATCAGGGGAGATGTTGCATTCAGTTGAATACCCTATTCGATTTCAATCGTTGGGACAGCACTTTGACCCCACCACACTACACATTGTTTTGGAACAACAATAAGGGGAACATTCGAGAAACCAACTGAGAGGGACGGGGCAGTGTGTATGCAGGTAATTTAACAAAACTTTCATGACATCAAGTTCACTAACAATTTCACGAATTAATCAGTTTACTTAAAGGCTCAATACCACTCTTGTTGTAACTGAATAATATGTCCCAATCTTTATTCTGGTCAACAAATTGTACTATTTTACAATATTCCAATTAATTGATGATACAAATTTCATCTTAACACACCTAATCTAAAAAATTGGAAAAATTCAACTAAATGATTTGAAAAGCCTGACGTAAAGCTTTTCAAATGTTACTTGGATTTAAAAATATTTTTGAACCCTCTGAACAAATAAAATAGGATTTAATGGATAATTTACAAAACAGGTAGGACACTAACACATCTAGTACTTAGAATACGGCTATTTTTTATTTTCTGAAGATGTCAAGCCAGCAAGAGTGTTATTGTCCCTTTAATGGAACAAGCCAACAGTGAGGCTGATGTCCCCCGCCGAAATTGTAAAATAAATAGATGACACATATTAATTAATCGCACATTTATTTTTTTCACTAAGTTTCATCAATCTCTATCAGATAGAATCAAGATTATCTTGTCCCAAACCATCGACAAATGAAATCGATTAGCTCTGCTTAGCTTCAGCTCAAAATGTTAATCATTGACCAAATAAACACCTACACCAAGTTTGAACATTCTAGCTCAATTAGAAGGTGAGTTATTGTGTTCCAAAGTCACGGCCAATCAAATTGCTTATCGCTCTGCTTACCGTTTGGTAGAGTGTTCACACTTGGTATAGGTGTTTATTAGGTGAATGCTTTGATGGAGTTGGAAGATGAGAATTTTCTGCTTAGGGTAAGCAGAGATAAGCAATTTAATTGGTTGATGATTTGGGATACGATAACTTTAGTTCTAATTAAGTGAGAGTGATGAAATTCGGTGTATAGTTTCATGACTTCAATACCTTGACTAAGTTTGATAATGGTCATTTTCTGCTGAGGGTAAGCAGAGCGATACGCAATTTGATTGGTCGAGACTTTGGAACACAATAACTCTCCTTCTGATTGAGGTAGAATGTTCAAATTTGGTGTAGGCACTTATTCGGTGAATGCCTTGATGGTAAGCAGAGATAAGCAATTTGATTGGTTGATGCTTTTGGGCACGATAACTTTGGTTATAATTAAGTGAGAGCTATGGAACTCCGAGTATAGATTCATTATATCATTACCTTGACTAAGTTTGATGAGAATTTTCTGCTTAGGCAAAGGAGCGATAAGCAGTATGATTGGTGAAGACTTTGGAACATAACAACTCTGCTTTTAATTGGGGTAGAATTAATTGATGTTGGTGTTCATTAGGTGAATGTCTTGACTGAGTTCAATGATTTTAAAACATTTCCCGCTAAAGCTAAGCAGATCTAAGCAATGTCTTTGACTTCGATTCTATCTGATAGAAAGTGATGAAACTTAGTGTATAGTTGATAATCAGCTTGATTGTTCTATACTTTTGAAGAAGATAAACGTACATTTAATTAATATGTGTCATCTATTTATTTCGAAATTCGGCTTCACTCTTGGCTTGGTTTCTCGGGGGATTTATTTTGTTGTCTTTTTTTCTTTTTGCTAAATGATATAATATAACAAAGTATTTTTAATCTGGGTTTTTTTTTATTCCCCGTTAGCCCAATAAAGCCATAGGCACCTAAATGGGCTGTCTTCCATGGCGCAACATTTCAGCTAAGAGTTATTTTTAGGCGCTCAACAAGTAGATTTAACACATTATGTTTTTCAAATACAAATGACTTAAAAAATGTAGGGCTATCGGTAGAGTGTTAGACACATGAGTGGGCTCATGACTTCTGAGTAATATTGCTTTCCCAACCCATGGTTGCCAAATGCCTTCTTGTGACAGGGGTGGAGGGGATACCTTGTTTTGGGCTAATTTTAAGGGTTAAAGCATGGATGAACATTTGTAAATCTACGAATAATATATTATGCTTTTCTATTTAGAAAGGGGATCACGTGGCTAAGTGGGTAAGGCGCTGGCTCGCTAGCCTGGAGGTCGGGTGTTCGATCCCTGCATTGGCCGAGAAAGTTCATCTCGATTTTCCGGCGTGGTTTCCCCTTGTCAGTGATGCAGAACGGAGGGCCTGACAATGACAGCTGCCTAGTCGTTCGGATGGGACGAAAAACCGAGGTCCCGTGTACACATTGGCGTGCACGTAAAAGATCCCTTGGCAGTTGGAATTCGATATAAGAGTAGGCCGTAGCGCCGCTGCCCGGGCAAAATTTCCCTCATAGCACACTGTATGGCGTATGCCCGTCTTCAATTAGCCCAGGTTAGGTGCAGAAGAGTAGGACGTTAAACCCCATTCCATTTCATTTCATTTCTATTTAGAAAGATTTGTATTTACGGTTGCAGCTTAAGGACCTGCTTAAGGACCTGCCTTTCGACTACAGTTCAATCAGTCCAATGGCAAATGAGTCCATGATTTCTCCATCAGGAATATCCCTGGTTCATCGTCGATGATGGAAGAAATGCAATTTCTGCGGCGAGGCTGTCTATAGAAGCTATGTGTGTTTATTAAAGCTGATACTATGGAATACATTAGGCATATAATTCTTACAAGACGCATCACTTATTAACCCTTGGAGTGAATTTTAAAAGCTGTTTATGGGATATAAGAAGAAGTCAGAGTTGTGGATTCAGAGGAATAAATAAAGAAGTTTGGAATCTTTGGAACTATAATATGAGACCTTAATGGCATGTTAAATTGAATCACATGGGTTTAGCGTTTCGTAAAATACACTTATTTTAAAAACTGTGAAAATGAAAGGAGAATATTTGGACGGAAACTAGGGTACTACAACACACATTAAATTGGTACCAGGACATTTGTCTGCCTTTTTATAAAAGAACAATATAAGAGTAACACCCATATTTGTGGAGTTAACTAAACCTGCTATATTTCTAAACCTTGACGTCTTCATTATTGAAACATGCTTTATTTCGCTTCATAAACACTTCTCCCATAACTCTAAACCTTGACGTCTTCATTATCGAAACCGTGAAATAATCCGAAAGGTAATATGTCAGTGGGCGTCAGTTGCCATTAACATAATGTCAAATTTGATTCTTAGCGGTTAGAACTCTCAAATACCAGAAAGCTAATATCCAAGCGGGCGTGGCCTAAAACGCGTTACAGTCGAGCGTGACTGATTGATAGAGTACCAAGCTCCGCCCACAGTTGTCTGCCCCAGTTACAGTTTCTTAGCATGTAGCCAATAAATAGCGAGAAGAGACGGATGGTAGAATTAATATTTCAGCTACAATTCACTGGGAATAATAACCAAGTAGAATGCAGTACACACAACTAACTACCGTTTCACAACTTGAGGCCGCTATGGACAGGTCTCCGACATTGGAACCGATACCTTCGGATAACTCATCAGGGGAGCAGAATGGCGATTCTTCCGATGACGGTTTGACCCACGGGGAGAACACCCTTAGTGTAGCAGAACCCGGAGATATGACGAATGATGTTGGAAAATCACCGGATACCAAATCATCATCTCCAAAAGCGAACTCGGAACTTTTATCAGGTAAAAATTTGACTTTCTCTCCTGAACAGGTGGCATGTGTTTGTGAGGCGTTGCAACAAAAGGGTGACATTGAACGTTTAGCCAGATTTTTGTGGTCATTACCCCCAAGTGAACTATTAAGGGGGAGCGAAGCCGTGCTAAAAGCCAGAGCAACTGTTGCATTTCACCGAGGCAGCTACCGAGAACTATACGCTATATTAGAGAGCCACACATTCGAAGGAACGAATCACAATTTCTTACAACAACTGTGGTACAAGTCCCATTATATGGAGGCTCAGAAAATTAGGGGTCGACCGTTAGGGGCTGTTGATAAATATAGACTCAGGAGAAAATACCCATTACCTAAAACTATTTGGGATGGAGAAGAGACTATTTACTGTTTTAAAGAGAAATCTAGACAAGCTTTAAAGGAATGTTATAAACAGAACAGATATCCGACACCAGATGAAAAACGAACCCTTGCTAAAAAGACCGGCTTGACCTTAACACAGGTCAGTAATTGGTTTAAAAACAGACGACAACGGGATCGAACTCCACAGACACAACAACATCCTCAGTAAGTGATATTTTCTTATATATATGAGATTTAGGCACGGAAAAAATATCCCAAATCTAGTCTGACCTGACTGGTCTTCTTCTAAATCAGCATTGCCATTTGTGTGAAAAGGTTGATTTATAGCGCATCGAATAAATCAGAGAAGGTATGGGGTTACTGAGAATGAGAAGCACTGTAGCCCCCCGCGCAATCGAATTAAAAATGTTTGTTGGAATATTCCTTTGTAATGCCCAAAATGAAATCAGAAAAGGAGAAGTAACACAGGCTGAACTGAATTAAAATACTAATACTGCGGTACTTAAATTATTAAGTAATCCAGAAATGCCATAGCCACATGCATGTTTGATTGGAATACGTTTCTAATGTCCCAAATCAGTCAAAGAAGTTATTAAGAGTCATAACAACTGAATGAAAAAATACTAAATGATCATGTTAAATTGATGTAATTGGTATGTGGTCCAGTTACATTTCATCTGTTTATTCATTAAATACTATCTAATAGCAATTATCGCTTCCCTTCAGTTTATTGCTTGTTATCATTAATAAATATCCATGTCATTTTAAGGAGTTTTCGAAATACTAAGCTATGACAACATGGAGCAGGGGGTGGGGTAGGATTGGAAGTAGACTTATGAGAATGTGATACTTGAATATTATGTACATCAACTTCAAGGGTTAATTTCAAAATGAAACTTAATTTCTATTCCATGTTGGGGTTTTAATTTAATATGCTAAACATTTATTACATTCTTTACTGTAAAACACAATTATATTTGCTAACGGATATTAGATTTAAATTACATTGCGTGACATTAAAAATAGACATATTTGATTTTTGACCAGCATTTCTGTACCAGTATTCCTGTTGAGACATTAGATATAACGTTTATGACTATGGTCAAGAGATAAAAAAATTAGATATGATTGGCCTAGATTAACTATTGCTACGTTATGGATGCGCTATATATAGAAGATACCGTATTGCATAAAAAAAAACTTACAAAGTTATGTAAATATATGAATAATAATAATAATAAAAATACATGAAACATCAAACATACACACATAATTAAAGGTAACTCTTGTATTTTGAAATGCTGTTTATTTATTTATTTGTTGGAGTAAATGTTTTCATGTGCTTTATTCTAAAGGCAGGCTTCTCCATAAAATATTAAAATGTGAATCTTTCTGCAAGAATACATGTGTATCCATATATTATACTCTTCCCGTAACCTGTCCGCATTATCCCGGTTGGTGCAGAAAAGTAGGACGCTAAACCGCATTTCCTGTCCCTTCATTTCTTTCCCGTCAGAAAATATTTCCATATGTAATAGCCTAGAGACCAAACCCACGTTCATAACTCAAATTATTCCATAAACGAAAAAGAAAAAGAAGAAGATTTCTGACACCCAGTTGTTAATCGGTTATTTTATAGTCAAATAAATGATTTGCATGTATGAAATTATTTCAGAATAATCCTTTACATTATTTTCACTTGGTATCTGCATAAATGAGGGAAAAGCTAGTACACAAGATCGAATCTATCATATGATTCAAATAACGTTAAATAACAGATAACTAACTGTACAAAAACTATAGCGTTGACGATTATAAACTGATTACGTTTTAATCCAAACAACGTTCTCTTATCAATTAACGCTAAAACACTCTTACGTTATAATAGTAACATTAGATTTCTAAACTAAAGTTAAGGGTTTTAATGCCGTTCTGATAAAGTTATTGACAAAGCTAATGTGGCGTATAAACAGATTTGCATTTTAATTGTGTATTGTGCAAATGATATGACATATTTAGAAAATATTCACTTTTTGATAAAACTTATAGAGTTTTACACTTTTTGATAAAACTTATTTTATTGATAAATCTTAAATCTTCTTGAAACATTTGAAACATTACTATTTTCATAAATAAAGTAAGTTTTAAATATGTAACTTTATGATGGAGATCGTAGAATATATAACATCCCGCTGTAAAATGCACTATATAATAGTAAGTAATTGGATACTTATATGCACGCTGTCCAGCAATAAATTGATGTATCTTAGTATTGACTATAAGTATTATATTATCTTGTGATTATGAAGTCTCATGTTTCAATTCACACTTGACTATAAGTTTTTAAGATCAGATAATAACTCGAATACTGCATGTCCTCTCAACCATAAATAATATGATAAATAATTTTATAAACGACAAAGCCGTCTTCCCCGGCCTCGAGGGTGGCATACCGATAAGGTGTTTCTTTATTCTAAACCGAATTAAATACACAAACTTCTTTTTTCTTTATTTTTACAAAATGAAGAGATTTCCATAGTGAATCAAATTAGAGTATTTTAGTATGTACATTTTTTTGACTTTATATATGTGATTAGATCTCTAAAATAATAAACAGGATTGATTTTAAAATATTGACAAGTGAAATATGGCTTTTTGTGCTCTGTCATATCAAACTTATACGATATACAACAAATATAAAAAAAATATTTACAACAATAAAATTGTGTTATTATTACAAAATAAATTCTTGATTCCTTACAGTATTGAAATAATTTTTCAGCGGCCTATCTATACTAATTTCAAAATAAAATTTATCTTGTCAAAATTTGTTTTGTTCTGGTTCTGATTTAGTGTGTATTGTTATAAGTTCATAGAAAACTTTCAGATAAAACCCCCATCCCGCATCGATTACAATTGTATTCATTTATTTGTAAACGATGACGAATAATAACTGAACCACACACTTTTATCGACTTGTTTTTAATAAATTGGGAAGTTGTTTCCAAATCAGAATAATCACTGATAGAAGTACAACAGAATTGTTGACTGGTTATTTGGGGTTGCAAAAGGTATATCCTGCCTCGTTTACGACATTTCTTGGTGGATTTGGAAAGGTATCTTACTGAAATGTCTCTAGATGGTTTGGTCTACTTTGTTTCGATCACGAGTGACAGCATTTTTAATTTATATTCATATTCAAGCCCGGGTCCACCTGTTCATAATCTTACATCTTTTAACCTCATTTCTGCCAATATGGCGTGTTGTTATTGTGCAAAAAATCCACGTCAAGATAGAATTAATGTGAAGTTTTTAGTGTCATAAATGTGTTTTTTAATGGGTTTGACAATTAAACTGTATCAAGTTATAATTACATGTATTGGGGAAATAAGTAAGCACGCAGTTAATATTTTATGAGAATTTTAAAATGCAAAGACACAATAGACAGTCACACGTATATTTGCAGGGAAGTCGAAGTGTAGATTTTGTTCCTTTTTTAAAAAGCAGCAAAAAAGAAAAACTTTTTTGGGGTGATTAAGTTAAGTTTAATAATATACTCAGTCTTCTGTTAGGTATACTGAAATCTGCATATCAAATACCATATATTCGATGTGGTTTATTTTTGTTGCAGTTTTCTTTATTGTTATTTTGTAGGAGCATTAATTACATTTATACAACAGTTTTGATCAAAGATTGAAAATAATCACCAGTTTTTTTACCATTGACCAAGGGGGCAGAATGAATGGAGTAAATTCCCTTTCAAACTGGTTTTATTATATCTTTGGAACAATAGCATTCTGGTACCAATCATGCAATTATATTGGTTGTATATTGCCGTCACCCCGGTCCGTCCGCCGTCCAGATATTATAAAGCATACCTTAAATCAAATTTAGTTATTATAAAGCATAATTTTAATCAAATCTAGTTAATATAAAACATACTTTAAATCAAATCTAGGTATTATTAAGCATACTTTAAATCAAATCTAGGTATTATTAAGCATACTTTAAATCAAATCTAGTTGTTATAAGTGAGTGAATGAAATGAGGTTTAACGTCCTACTTTTCTGCACCAACCAGGATACACCATAGAGCGTGTTACATGGGGGGGGGGGGATTTGCCTCCGTTTTTCGTACCATCCGAACGACTAGACACTGTTCCTTGTCAGATTCTCTGTCCTACACCATTGGCATGGGGAAAACGCGCTGGAAAATCCCTAGAACCTTTCTCAGCTACCACCGGGGTTGTAGCCTAGACCTGGTTAGTGAGTGAGTGCCTTACCCACCAAGCCACCGTGGCTCACTCTAGTCTACTTTATAAAACATACTCTAAATCTAATTCAGTCTTGTCTGCGATATCACCCAAAGGTGGAAGCGGACGTAAAACCCCACGAACGAACGATCTAATCCAGTTATTAAATCAAATATTGCTATCATCAATATTGATTCATCTGATGTATCCGTACGTTTGTCTAGGGAATTCAATCTCAATGAGAGCACGTAAATCGTCATGTGTGATTTTACGCGGCATTTCCCACATGTCAAATGTGTCGACATCAGATTTTTAGTTGTGTATTGTGTATAGAGTCCATCAGCATTTCAAGAGTATATATGTGTGCCAAATTGTGCGCTTTACATCCATGCTTGAGTGTTTATTAATTTATTTTATATGAAAATAGAGAAGTCATCTTGACAAATTACCTTTATATAATATCTGATTTAATCTACTTAAAATTCACCATTTTCCTGTTGATAAAAAAAAAAACATCTTTAAAATATAAAGCTCCATATTATTCGTGATAGTACTCAAGGAGCTAGCCCATCTCTATCATAGCCACGAACCATAAATACTGATATTGCTACATTTGACACAATTTGTAAGATATATATTTACCTATCATAGCGAATGATGGGTACTACAGGTGAGATCACGTTCTATCTACCACCGGAACAATGCCCGAATTTACCCGGGCTTGACTTACCTGTGCTGGCCATTATATACCTTATTTATTCGCTCCTCTACACCTTATTTACTTTAGTAGAATAGCGAAAACCCCTCCATCTATTATCTCCCTTGTTGATTTTCCTGTCTTGAAAACCTTAAAATAACAGATTAGGCATACATCTATTCTGCTGCACGATACTAACGATGCGACTCAGACCCGCTTCTTATTTTTGTCACGCTCAAAAAATAAAATCAATTA